TGCGCCTTATAACCGAGAAACTACGGTAAACATAGGCCAGAGTTAAACAGTAGACACATTTTAGAATAAATATTAGTGAAAACTTAATTAAACGACGTTTCATTTCTACATTGCAAAATTATGAAATTTATCTTGAGAACCTAGTGATCAATGTCATGCATATTTTTCACCCGTGTGGAGGGTATCCAAAGCTAATCTCATTAAAGTAATTGGTTAATAGAGACAATGGCAAGTGCAGCTTATCTGTAAATATTCTGTGACGAGAGCTTGGTGGGATAATAGCTATTTCAAAGCTACTGTGACAAAGACCCTGTGGCAGAGGCTACCCTAGTAATCAACATCGTACGAGCTGTCAAGATTAATTCCTCGCTATCTGCGATTCCGGGTGATTTCGGGAACGCATCTTGCTTTGTCTCTTCACTTTCAAGATCACCTCACATGAATGTCTTAGACCAATTTCAATATGGTAAGACTCTTACTTGGCTCCGAGGCTTAGGAGAAAAGAACAAAAGAAATCACGGGGAGGTTGAAGGATTAATACTCAATTTCTTTTGTTTTATTCCCCTCGGAGCCAAGCTAGAATTTTAATATATCGGAATTGACCTGAACCATCTTTATTTTCTTTATTTCTTTATTTTTTTTTATTTTCTTAATAAAGTTCTCACTCACTCATTTATTTTAATCTATTTATTGTGCTGTTTTTAGTGATTTGTAAACAGTGCAACAATGTCTTGAGCAAGCAGGCCCTGTTGAACCAGATGCGGGAGTCTGCTGCAGCCCCGCCCATGCCCACGCCTGTCACTGAGGCTCCTTTGGAGGTTGCGTCATGTGAACTTGAGGGGGTAAGTAGAAAATGACAATTGTTGATAGTGTACTCCCCAGGGCGCCTTCCTAGGTTAGCTTCTTATGAAGATGTTAAAAGATCCTCTGAAATCTTCACGTAATTTTATATTGTTGATCGCTGAGTTGTACAAATTGGGTCTAGGGGTGGTGGGGGCAGAATGAGGTGGAACTTTCATAATAAGGTGATGGGGTTTAAGGCAACGATAAATTTCTTGTTATGGCGGTTTCTCTTAAGATGTTATAGTAGAAAATGACAATGGTACTTTTTAGGGTATATCGAGCCGGAAAATGAAACAGGAACTGCGTTTGTCACAAACTAAGAATTATTTGTAGCCTCCCATGCAGGCGCTTGTTGGGATCGTCACTCATTCCTCCCCAACGCGAAATGCGTCACGAGATTAGACGTATGATCACGATGTCAAGGGCCCAAAGAGCATCAGTATTGGAGGTGAATCTTTTAGGGGTTCTCTTGACTCCACACCGATTAATATCCATAGAACAGATATTTGGAACAAACTGATATTGATCATTAACTGACTTTATTATATGGCTAGCTCTGTTAGCGGCCAAGGTGAACCAAATCCTGCGTTGTGATTGGCCACCCGAGCTTAGAACAAGGAGCTATCTTAGAACATGGAGCTAAAAAAAGAATAAATAATAATAATAATAATGATGATAATCATAATCATAACCATAACAATAACAATAATAATAATAATAATAACAATAATAAAAAGAATGAGGCCAATATGCAGCCATCTTGACTGAACAAGCTTGGTCAATGACCCATATGTATATCTTCTACCTTGTAGGAGCACATGGAAACAGGCACTTCAAGTGCGCAAATGACTGACAGTAACGTTTCATCCAACAGCCTCGAAACTAAACTGAGGAGTCTTAAAATACCGTCCAGTTGGCAGGATGATGAGAGATTTCTCAGTCCCGATGCTGGGAGCCTTGTCTCAAGTACAAGCGACGAGGCACCAGCCGCTAAGCCAGCCACGTCTCACTCAGTACATTCCAAAAAACTGAATGAGTATGAACGAACGTCGCACCAATAACTTAACCTTGGATGGAATGGGATAAAGTTAGTGACAGCACCAAGCGAAGATACACTAAACCAACTGTAGAGATCGTTTCTTCAGTCCTTCATACTCTCTGTCCTAATGACCCAGGTTCTCTTTGGCAAGCAATAGTCTCGTCCCCAGCCATAAACAAAGCTCTTGAATGAGATGACTTACCACAAACGGCCAAGGATTATCTCCAGGCCCTAACCGAGGCGTACAACCAAGCTCACGGTTGGGACACAAGAAGGCAGATCCTGTCTATCATGTCCGGTGTTGCCAGCTTCAAGGATGTCTCAGGCTTCATACCTGGGCTGACAAGATATCGCTTTACTTTGGCCAACCTGCATTGCCTGCAGTGTGGACGTGGTGCTCTGTTGATGCACCAGCCCTTGCCAAGAATAAGGGTTGATCAACAACAACTTGACCATTTCCTATCATTCATAACGAGCCCCCATTTGGTACAAGATCTGCCCTTTGGACAGAAAACCCTGAAGCTCTCGTCCGGCCAGCTGATAGAGATACCAAACATCATCCGAACAATGATACCGTAGAGAATAGCGCACCAGTATAGCCATTACTGTGAGGAGACAAACTTCAAACCATTTAGCAAACGAACCATGCTGCATGTACTGGCAGAATGCAAAGCGTCTGTCGGAAGTCTCTTCAGGGGCTCGATTATTTCGTGGCAGATGGTGTGCGTGCATTTGAAGATCTTGACAATTTAGTTTGCCAACTAGGTGATCTTGGTCTGGGGAATGAGTGGCAAGTGCAGCAAGTCGAGCTGCTAAAAGCAGCCAAATCATACATTAAAGGAGACTTCAAGGTAACGCTCTTTGTAAACGTAACATTGGCTTTGCGAAGAGATGTTAATTCCAGTATGTTGAAAACAAGGAAGTCTTTCTCCCCAATTCGAAAATGGGAAACAAATTATTGCAACAGGTTGACTAGCTCTATATAGACATATATAGACATATTGGCATCATTTTTTTTGTTGTTTACACTTAGCCATGATACAATAGATACAATAGATTTGAAGAAAATTGATTAATTATCTTTGAAATCCAGCTTCCTATTTCTGCATAGTAATTTTGTGGGCCGCAAGCCACTCATTAGATACTCACGACATCTCTCCAATGTCCTGATAGGTTCATGTGAGCAACTCATCTCTGGTAGCAAGTCACTGCAGTGTTTTTGCCCTCAGCGACACTACCAATCCTGACCTACAACAGCAGTGCGACCACAGCCATGACCAGATGCGTGAACAGAGCGAAAGTCTACACTCGACTCTGCACAGCATCACAGAGGCAGTTAAAGAGGCATCTTTTGTAACAGAGGATGACAGAAATGAAGCTGGGTACCTTGCAAACTCCGCCACCCTTTCTATCAAGTCATGGATATGTCACTTGCTGAGATCAGTCCACCAAGATCAGGCTCGCTTGGATATCATTGACACTCTCGATCCTGAGGCAGTTTTAATCGTGAATGACTGGGTGATGAAATTTTTGCCTCAAAGATACAGAGAGTCACAAACGGAATGGTTTGGTAAGCGTGGCTTATCATGGCACATGTCTGTTGTGTACCGACAGAAAGAGGGAGAACTTCAGTGGCAAGGCTTCATCCATATAATCCAGTCCTGCAGCCAGGGAAGTTCCGCTGTGGCAGCAATCATGCACCATGTACTTACAACCCTAAAGCGCGAACACCCTGAAGAAAACAAAGCCTACTTCTGTCATGACAATGCGGGCTGCTACCACTCCTCTCGCACATTACTAGCGTGCCGCGAGATGCCAGCCAGCACTGGAGTACAAGTTGTCCGCATTGACTTTAGCGATCCTCAAGGTGGGAAAGGGGCTGTAGATCAGTTGGCTGCAACCTGTAAAGGACACGTCAGGGCTTTTATCAATGAAGGCCACGATGTTTGTACTGCTACGGACCTGAGGAACGCGTTGCTATCATATGGGGGATTGGGAGGAGTGCAAGTGGTCTCACTTAACACTATCAACAAAACACCAGATGATTCGCGAAGTATCTCAGGGATCACTAAGCTTAATAATTTTCAGAGTCAATTACCTGTTGGCGCGCATATTCCATTGGCCGTGGAAAAACAATTAAACCGGAAAAGCCATCATCTGGTAAGTATCCACATTGTATTTTAGAACTTCCCCAACACATAGACACAGACAGACCTGGTCGCACACTCAGCTATGGTAACGGTGTGTCCCATAGACTTGATAAGCAGAGTCTATGGGACGCACCAGTTACAAGTTTCCAAGTGCGCCAAGAAAACAAAATAACAAGTAAAAATGTACCTTTTGAAATAAACATTAAACTAAACCAACTAAGATAACATAACTACGATAAAATATCTAAACATGTATGACAATACCAAAGAATGTATACAAGTTGTTCAGATAAAAACACGCAATCGTGGTCTTGTTGGAATGCTAATTGTATTTGATAGAATCTCAAGTTTTCTCACATGCGGCAACATTTGCTACTAGACTAGGAGTGGCCGGAAGCGCGGATCAACTGTCAAAGTGTAACAGCCCAAGTGATAGTGAATCGCTTGTGGAGGGAGTGCTGATTGCCCGTACACTTTTCCCTTATAGGCATTTGTGTTATTCTAATGAACTGATGTTGTTACACTGATATTATTTAGCTTTTTGAACGAAAAAATGACCAAGTGTTTCTTTTGCAATTTAGTTAGACATTGCTCTTTCTTTATTTCTATGTCTAAGGTCCTGGATATGACTTGCTGGAAGCATCGTTCTCTGAAGGAGACTTCAGGTCATTTTCCAAAAAAAGTATGAAAACTGCAACCGCAACGTCAGTGCCAGTACCAACAAGTGTGACCGAAGAACCATCTGCTGATGTTTCCGCCATTGATAGTGACCAAACAGCAGGGGTATATTCCTGCCCTCAAGACGGCTGTGTTCGTGTCTTTCAGAGGCTGTCTGCTTTGGAGAGGCACCTGTCTCTGGAGAAATGTATACAGTCTCTGGAGAGATATTCACTTATGGACTTAGCCAAAATGGGCTACAAGTCCCGGTTGGAGCAAGGCGTAGGCACGTTACCAACACTCAAAGCCACAACCAGGTTCTATTCAAGAAATGGACAGATTACTTCCTTTTCCTGGCACTCGTTGCGAGCACAAGATCTTTTACTTCTAAAGAAACTGACTCGGAGGAAGCGGTCCTGATAGATGCAGAAACACTAAAGGTGTGGTGTGTCCACTTTTTAAAACTTACAATCTTATTTTTCAAAAATTGCTTAGTTAACTAGCATTCCTGCTTAGTTGTATTAATACAATTTAATCTCCACCCCCACCTTATAGTGGGTTCATCATCATCATCACTGCCCCGCGGCATAGCGCCAGTAGGCGCATAAGGTCTTATCATTCTGTTTCCACTGTGCCCTATTGCTGGCTACCCCTTTCGTGATGTTCCAGTCATTCCACGCTGCCTGCCGTCTCTCTTCCTCTACTATCCTCCTCCAGGTCATTTTAGGTCTTCCTCCTGTTTTCTATCTTCTGGTCCCCACCCTAACGCCACCCTGCAGTCACTGGGTCTATCTCCACGCAGTATATGTGCCATCCAAGTCCAACGCGGTCTTATTATTCTTTCGATAGTAGTGAGTTACAGAATGGAATCTCTTGTTCGCCTTAGCTCATTACCTCGCCGATGATCATCGGCGAGATTTCGTGTTCGTTATTTCACAGACAGAATGACCTCGTCATGATCGACGAGATTTTTGGTCCTTTATCATATAGAGGAGACAGTTACCTCATTTTAGGACCTTTATAATACAAACAGAATTACCTTAACGATGATCATCGGATTTCAAGACTAATAAAAAGAAGAAAAACCACTTTCGACATTGTATTCATGTTTCGTTCCTCATTGCCCTCTCTCGGT